CTCTCTCCCTCTGCCCCTCTCCCACTCTCTCTCTCAAAATAAATAAACGTAAAAAAAAAAGTTAACTGGGGCACCCGGGTAGCTCAGTCAATTGGGTGTGGGCCTCAAAAATGTTTTTTAAATTTTATTTATTTTTGAGAGAGAGACAGAGCGCGAGCAGGGGAGGAACAGAAAGAGAAGGAGACACAGCATCCAAACCAGCCTCCAGGCTCTGAGCTGTCAGCACAGAGCCCGACGCAGGGACGCAGGGCTTGAACCCACGAACTGCGAGATCATGACCTGAGCCAAAGTCGGACGCTTAACCCACTAAGCCACCCAGGCGCCCCCGATGTGGGACTCTTGATTTCAGCTCAGGTCATGGTCTCACCATTGGTTAAGTTTGAGCCCTACATGGGGCTTTCTGCTGTCAGCACGGAGCCTGCTTCAGATCCTCTGTTCTCCCACCCTGCCACTCCCCCCCTCATGCTCTCTCAAAATAAATAAACATAAAAAAAGTTAACTAGTAATATCTGACATTTACTGAGTGATTGCTATGGTGCCAAGCAACCTGTGTGACGTGTCTAATTACATTCTCACAAGAAGCTATTAATATAAGGGCATTCAGTATTCTCTCATTTAAAAAATGAAAGAAACTAAGGCAGAGATAGTTGCCTAAGCTGGTCAGCAGCTAAGCCAGAACACGAACACATGAAGCCTGAAAGCCGAGTTAGAACTCTTTACCATAATAGTTCCGCACATCTTATGACCAGCGAAAGTCATAAGAGCAACTTCATAGACGGAAATCAATGGGGCCAGGGGTCAGCAGGAAGTGACTGCAGGATCTAGATTAGAGGTCACTAATGCGTCACTCTCAATCGCATCTCAGCTAGTGGGACCATAACGTGATCAGAACGGGGAGCGGGGTAAAAAGGCAGAAATGCACTAAAACCTGCGGAGGCTCTCAGACAGCAGCCACGACGGGAGAGGCCGTGGCGCATGCGCGGCATCCGGGTTCTTGCGCGCGCATCTACTGCAGACGTGGCAGAAGGAGTGTCCGGCCCTGGAGCGTGGGGGAGGAGCTTCCGGGGGCGACGCTCAGGCCCCCTCGGAACCGGAAGTTGGGCCTGGGATCCTTGACGTTAGGAACGAAGTCGAACCTGGATCTGGAGCCGGGTGAGGAGTGGCATCGGGAGGTTGGTGGGTAGGACAGCAGGGGAGAAGCCGGGGTATCACTGGCCTGATCGGGGTCCCGTCCGAGAAGGAAGGGAGGAGCCTGGGGGCGGGGCACGGAGAGAGACCCTCACCTCACGCATCCACAATCCTGAATCAGTCCTAGACCCTCCCTTCTCTCCTCCCGGCCCAGATTCCGGCTCCCGCTTCCTGCCCCAAGCCTGTTGAAGGGCGCGAGACTCTCGATCTCCATGCTTAATGGACCAGCCCTCTCGTCGTGGCCCGAGAAGCTAGCTTGACTTCTTGGTCTTGATTCCCGGCGCTCCCAGCCTCCACAGCTCGACTACCTTCAGAGTTCTAGGAAGCTTGCCCCGCCCCCTGGGTTGTCACCCTCGGCTGTCTACCCAGAATGAAGTCCAGACTTGAGCCTTACTCCAAACTCTTGGGTGTGAGATTATTTCCTGGCGAAGAAGCTCCTTTCCTCCGCTCCCCGCCCCCACACTGATTTAGGAAGATACAGGGGCAGGGGACATCTGTCAAGCTTAGTGTTTGTGACCTGTGCAAGGTTTAGGATTTGGAAGAACAGCTCCTGAGATGGGTTTAAGATTAAAGAATTCTAGTCCAGGAGCAGCTCAGCTTTTCTGTTATCAAGATGACCCTCTTTAGCAAATGGGAGAGGCCCATTGTTCCACTACAGCATCTGTGAACTCTCCTGCTTCCTGTGCCCCATCTGTGTATAGGGTAGTTGAACGATAAGGCGTTCAGATGTGATCAGATAGTCTTGTTCTTGGAAGGACCCCGGAAAGGCTCTCACATTCATTCCTCTGTTGCTGGGTGAGATTGTCATAATTTTAGTGGTGGCCTATATTCATGACAAACATAAGGAGAGCAGAAACGGGATAGTTGGGAGAAGTGATGGGATTTGGAATACTCCAAATCTGCTTGAAGTCCCTCTGCTTGAAGGATAGGTGAATGATCTTTTTACATGAAATCTTTGTCATTGATCCTTGAACTGTTTTCCTAGGTTGTTGTGAGAAGTTTTTGTTCCTGGCCTGCACTTACTGGTGTCTGTTACCTTGCTAGAGTTTTGGGTGTCCTTTGCATTTAATGATTTTAATGCTTTAGTTTTCAAATCCATACATTCTTTTGGTGGAAAGACTGGGGATGGAGTAGCATTTGAATTATTGCAGTTCAGCCAAAGAATTTATTTCTCTGATCAGTTACTCTAGAATTTGTCTTTTGAGAAGGAGGGAATTTAACTGATCTGTTTTGTATGTGTAGCCTGAGTGATGGAAAATGACTAGCACTTTAGAGGGTATTCAGTGTTTGTTGAATGAATGGATGCTAGGGTGAATGAATGGAAAGTGGGAACATTGTTTCATTTACTTATAATATCACAGTAGTTCATCAGTGGCAGGACTCCTTGTGTGACTAGACACTAGAAATCATACCACTGGGGAATGGAGGCTATTCCCCATTCCAATGGGGCCTATCTGAAGTTGAAATTTATACCCTCCTGGCAGTGACAAAGCATGGGGTTCACAGTAACAAATCCTTACTTTGAGGAGGTAATGTGGCTACTGGCTGGGGCAGAAAATTACAAAGATCTTGTGGTAGTATGGGAACAATTAGGCTGATAACTGCCTGATAAGGTCAGTCCTTTTTTTTATCTATACTTTCTACCCTGAATAGTTGTTCTCTCTTTAGGAAGTTGATTTTGACTAATATCTCTCTTCTCTCTCATCTATTAGGTGAGACCAAGTTGGGGATGCACTCATAATGAACGTCAACCAGTCAGCTCCACCTGTGCCGCCATTTGGGCAGCCCCAGCCTGTCTACCCAGGATATCATCAGTCTGGCTATGGTGGGCAACCAGGGTCCACAGCACCCCCAACTTCCTATGGAGCCTACAATGGCCCAGTACCAGGCTATCAGCAAACACCTCCCCCAGGTATGTTTCCAAGTTTCCTTTGAGCTTAGGAGGGGAATCAGTAGTGTTCAAGCTGGGTGGTATTGCCTTACGGAAGCTGCCTAGAGAGTTGGGATGACTGGGATTGAGGAACGTGCCTCTGGCTCTCGGTTACGAGAACTCTGTGGGCAGTCTTCCCTTCCCTGTTTTTACATAAGTTCTGCCTTAAGACATCTAATCAAGCACATCTTCCAGGTTCAGTGGCAGTTCATTTCATGTGAGTGTCATCCTGTATGTATAGCCTCAACTGGCTGCTTTGTTCACAGCTGGATGGAAAGGTTGTGGTCACTGCTCTTTCAGAGCCTGTGACCAGGATTGAATATTTCCTGTTGACCTAAAGTCTCCCTGAAATCACTTGTTCTGCATGTATATTGGTAATACCTGTCATTGGATTAATGGTTCTATTTATAAATGACCCTGGGACATGGGAAACTAATTCGTGGATAAAAAGTGTGGTGTTTGTGTGTCTAAATTTTGGTGCTTCTCATATCTTTCTGCTGATACCATTTTTTGCCTTTGCTTGAGTTTCCTCTGCTTCTTAGATGCTCTGTAATATCAGGACAATAAGAGAAGACTAATCTGCTGCCTTAGGATCAGTGTTTGCCTTTTACATTGCTTTTTCAAGAAGAGCAGCTGGTACTCTACAGACTGTCCATAAGGCTTTTTGGAAAATGGTTAACAGCAGATCTTTGGTTAGGCTAGCTGAAGAGTTAATGCCAAATGCTTTATGCATAACTTTTTAAGATAGTAAATTCCATACAAGGATATGGGAAAAAGAAGGCACCAAGAAAGCATAGGTAAGATTTGGGAAATGAATGAAGTATTACCGTTTTAATTATGATTTTGAGAAAAAAAATTGTCAAGTGGTGAGATTAGGTCTCAGGTCTTTGGAAGAGCCTTATTCTGGGTTGAGACTTTGGCTGGACAGAGTCCACCTCTGATCTGTCATGTCCTGGCTTATCAGGATGGAGTTTGGCATTGCCTCAATGGGAAGTTTTATTATTGAAAGGAAAACCTATCTGGTTCTGGGATGGCTAGTGAACAGGTTCAGATTAATTAACCTGTAGGCAGGTTCTAAATTGTCTAATTGTCTAATCTCTATTGAGTAACAGAGCAAAAGAAAAACAATTGTTTGAACAGGGGTCAGCAACATTTCCAAAATGATGTGCCGAGTAACTAATTCCCTGCATTTCATGTGGGAAGGATGGTTGGGGATAGTATTCAGAAAGGATGGTCGGGGGTAGTAGAAATAGCTTTGATAGGAGCTCTGAGGAGCAAAAGGGCTGGGGTACAGCTTTTGTGAAGACAAAGGTGGCACCACTAGTGAGATGGCAAGTCAGCTGTCCTGACTGAACCACTGGGCAGAGTCTCCAACCTGAGATTACTTTCCTGAGCCATGTAATATTGGGAATGTCAACACTTAGAAGTGGATGGTTAGGATAAGTAGAATATACGAAAAAGAGGTTGGCAGAATAGTCTCCCCAACAGGAGCCTGTCTTTACAAATTAGTTCAGTTTATTACTTGATCACCTTCTGTACTACCTTTCTCATATGTTCAAAGTTTCTGAGTTCTGGAGTAGGATCTTTTCCTTAAAAGAGTTGACTTTTTGGGGCACCTGGCTGACTCAGTCAGTGGAGCATGCGACTCTTGATCTTGAGGTTGTGACTTTGAGCCCCATGTTGGGTGTAGAGATTACTTAAAAATAAAATCTTTTTTTTTTTTTTTTTTTTTTTTTTTTTTTTTTTTTTTTTTTTTTTTAAAGAGTTGACTTTTTGTCTAGGCTAAGAACATTAGACTGTCCTGGATTGTATGAAAGTGTATGGTGATTGCAGGAAGCCCTTATGTTCTTGTGGCTCTAGTTACAGCTTCACGTATAGTATATCTGTCTAGAAGAGTGGAGACTCTCTGACTGGGCGTCCATGTTCAGAATCTGCTGTAGCTGGAGTTGCATGTTCATGGTATCCTTTTGATATCAAAGCTGTGGCACTGGGCCAGTGAAGCTCTGAGCTTATTAATTCTTGCTTTATATTCCTTGCTCAGGGTGGAGAAGAAAGTTATTTCCCAATTGCTTAGTTTCTGTCCTTTACCCTCAGGTGTGTCAAGAGCCCCACCTTCTTCAGAGGCACCTCCAGCCTCAACAGCACAGGCCCCTTGTGGCCAGGCTGCTTATGGCCAGTTTGGCCAAGGAGATGTACAGAATGGGCCGAGCTCCACTGTTCAGATGCAGAGGTATGTATTTGGGTCAACCTAAAATCGGTCTGATGAAATTAGAAGGATTAGGAATGGATGAGGGCCTGTTTCTTTTTTCTTGACTTTCTCTTAGGTCCTTTTTTCTCTTCCCTCTACTTTTTTGTATTTTGTTTTCATTTTTCCAGATTATGGGTGCTGCTGTTGTCTATTCCATAGATCATTAACCCATCTTCGTACCTGAGTTCTTTTGTATATTCTTTCTGTGAACTTGAGTTTTTTTCTTGACTAGACATATATCTTCAATAATTGTTGCAATCATACTGAGCCTGCCCTCAGGGAGAAACAGGAAGAAAGGATCTCAGAATTATTTATGTCTCTTCTGACTTCTCCCTTTCCTCTAGATCAGGCAGTTAGTAGGACTTACTGGATAAGTTTGGGTGTGACCAGTTTTGAAAAGAAAGATACTCAAAGAAAAACCACATAAATGATAAAAACTTTGGTGGTACATGATCCAATAAACACCTGTCTTTGTATGGAAGTCCATTAAGGGAAGGCAAGTCATCTCTGTTGGACTATTGTTTGTTTTTTGGTAAACAAAGGATAAAGTATAACTGTGAGTAGGGTGTGTGGTAATGGAAGAGTCACTTTCTGACATTTTTATTGGGTGTCCAGAATATACATTTTTAGCATCAGATGTTAGCATCGGAAAGACCCTGGGAAGTGCTCCCTAATCTTGTGTGTTAGAAAACACTGAGAAGCAGTATAAGAAATTCATTCATTCATTCAGCCACTCAAAAATATTTATTTTGTATTATTATGTGTTGGATGTTGTTCTACAGGTTGGAGATAAAGCAGCAAACAAAACAGATCGAATCTCTGCCCTGGTGGAATTTATAGTCTAGTGGAGTACACAGAAGATAACAAGTAGACAAATATAAATAAGAAATAAAACAGAGTAGGGATATACAGAATGTCTGGTGAGGAGGTAGGGAGCTGTTTTAAATACATTGGTCAAGGAGAGCCTCCCTGAAGTGCTGTTTGAAACTTCCGTGAAATGACTCAGGGAGCTATCCAAAGATCTGGGAGAAGAATGTCTTGGATAGAGGAAACAAGTGTAAAGGCTCTGATGGAGAAATTAACTTAGTGGGTGTGAGAAAGAGCAAGAATGCCACCGTGACTAGAGCAGAATGGAGTGTGGAGGAGATAAGGTAGAAATATAGTCAAGAGCCGTATCATGTAGTGCTTTGTAAGTCATAGTAGGAAGTATAAATTTGATTTTAGTTGGAGTGAGAAGCCATTGGAGAGTTTTAAGCTGGGGAGAAACACATTTACATTTATTTGTTTGTTTATGCAATAGATCTTTTCATTATAATATAAAACACATACAGAAAAATCCATACAGAACAAATGTATGGCTTAGGAAATTATTGTAAAGTGAATACCCTTGTAACTACAACCCAGATGAAGAAATAGAAGAACTCTGCCACATGCCCCAAAAGCCCCTTCCACGTGCCTCAATTCAGTCATAACTCTCTCCTTTTTTTTTTATTTTTTTATTTAAAAAAAAAAATTTTTTTTTAACGTTTATTTATTTTTTTGGGACAGAGAGAGACAGAGCATGAACGGGGGAGGGGCAGAGAGAGAGGGAGGCACAGAATCAGAAACAGGGTCCAGGCTCTGAGCCATCAGCCCAGAGCCCGAGTCATAACTCTCTCCTTATCCTCATGAGTAATGATTATCTTCTTATAGTAACCACTTTGTTGTGTTTTTTAAAATAGTTTACACCCAAATGTACATCCCTAGATACCACAGTTTAGTTTTGCCTGTTTAAAAAACCAAAAAACAATTTGATGTGTCTTTAAGTTGATAGGTTCTCTTTCTTTCTTTCTTTTCTTTCTTTCTTTCTTTCTTTCTTTCTTTCTTTCTTTCTTTCTTTCTTTCTTAGAGAAAGAGCAAGCGAGGGAGGGGCAAAGAGAGAGGGAGATAGAGAATCCCAAGACTTGGGGCTCAATCTCACAAACCGTGAGATCATGATCAAAGCCGAGATCAAGAGTCAGATGCTTAACTGACTGAGCCACCCAGGCACCCGCCATCCTCCATCTCTTTCTTTTCTTTCTGTTTATCTGTTGAAGAACTGAAGCCAATTGACCTGAAGAGTTTCCCACAGTCTTGATTCTTCTGGTTCCAAATTCATATTACAGTTCAACATGTTCCTCTTTTCTCTGTATTCTCTGCAAATTGGCAGCTGGATCCAGAGACTTGCTTTCTTAATATCTTGTCTTTTTTTTGTAATGTTAGCAGTTGTTGGAGCTTAATACATATGTATATTAATTCCTTGGGTTTTCAAAATGGTGATACTTTTGAATTCTTTTGTTTTTCATTTAATTGTTTGAATACTGTTACAGTTTTCCTCTTGTGTTGTTTGGTTACTTGTGCAGCTCTTATAGGTTAAATGCTTGCTTCTTTACCTTTATTTCCAAGTTTATAAGGGAATGAATTGGTCCTTTGTTACCTACTGAAGGTGACCTCTTCTTTTTTAATGTTATTTCGAATTTACAAATTTAAACATACATATTTTTATTTATTTAAAATGTTTATTCATTTTTGAGAGAGAGAGAGAGTAGGGGAGGGACAGAGAGAGGGGGGGACCAAGGATCTGAAGCAGGCTCTGTGCTGACAGCAGCCCTGTGCGAGCCCTATGCTGGGCTCAAACTCGTGAACCATGAGATCGTGACCTGAGCCGAAGTTGGACGCTTAACCAACTGAGCCACCTAGATGCTCCTAAACATATATATATTTTAAAGTTTTTATTTATTTATTTTGAGGGAGAGAGTGAGGAAGACAAAGAATCCCAAGCAGGCTCCATGCTGTCAGCCAGAGCTGAACACGGGGCTCTATCACACAAAACATGACATCATACCTGAGCTGAAATCAAGAGTGAGATGTTTAACCAACCAAGCCACCCAGGCACCCTGAATTTAAACAAATTTGATGGGTTTTGGGGCACTTGGGTGGTTCAGTCGGTTAAGCATCCCGACTTCAGCTCAGGTCATGATCTTGCATTCATGAGTTCTGCACTGGTGGCACAGAGCCTGCTTGGGATTCTCTCTCTCTCTCTCTCTCTCTCTCTGCCACTCCCCACTCAGGTTCTTTCTCTCTCTCTGTTTTTCTCAAAATAAACTTTAAAAAAAACATATTTGATGGGTTTCAATCCACTGCAATTATCATCATTATTGAAGTTTAGAGTGTTCCATCTTTGACCAATGGGAGCTTCTTCAAGTTGACTCCTGAGTACTTCTGACATGGCCCTAGTAGTCTTTGAGAATGATAAGATGTCTTAGGATTGTCTTACACATTTTAAGCCCCAGACCAGGAATTAGGCATTTTCCCAAGAAATCCTTTATTTTGGTGGTGATAAATGACATTTTGTGGCCGTAATCTGGGCACTAGGCACGTTGACTGATTGGTCACTCCTGGGCCTTTACAGTAAGCATAGCTAGGAAACACATATCTACATATCTATAGATATCTACATATACATGTTTAAATTTGTACTTCCAATTCAAGACTACAGAGCCTTTACTTAACCTATTATACCTGTATCTCTTCTTTTTCTTAAGGCTATGGGGATGATGGAATTAGAATACTGAAATATGCCATAATTTCTCATTTACTTTATCCCTTATTGTACACAGCAGTCTCAGTACAACAATACTAACACTATCACAAATGTGATTACTAAAAACAGTATCTTTTTAAAATTTTGCATATAGTCTCCTCATTCTGTAATAATTTAAAAACATATACTATATATATCTATACTAGATATATATACATATACGTCTTTCTTTCAAAAATAAAAATAAACATCAAAAAAAATTTTTTAATTGGATTCTGGTGATGGTTGCACAGCTCTAAATTTACAAAAAATCGTTGAATTGTACACTTAAAAGGAATGAATTTAATGGTATACAAATTGTGTTTCAAAGCTTTTTTATTTTTATTATCATTATTTTTTTAATGTTTATTTATTTTTGAGAGAGAGAGAGAGAGAGAGAGAGAGCGAGCATGAGAGGGGGAGGGGCAGAGAGAGAGGGAGACACAGAATCTGAAGCGGGCTCCAGGCTCTGAGCTGTCAGCACAGAGCCCGATGGGGGGCTCACACTCACGAATCATGAGATCATGACCTGAGGTGAAGTTGGACGCTCAACCTACTGAGCCACCCAGGTGCCCCATGTCAAAGTTTTTTTATTTTATTTTATTAAAAAAAATTTTTTTTAATGTTTATTTATTTTTGAGAGAGACAGAGACAGAATGC